TACTCAATTTTTCAAATATTAAAGCTATTTTTGATTGATATTAAGGTTACAAAGAGTACTTCGCTTTTTGGTTACACATCACTCGCTCGCTTTAATGTTACATAAATTACCAAATTAATATCAATCAAATTTGATTATGTAGATCAATTAACAAATCTAAGAACCAATAATATCTAATAAATAATTATCCAATAAAATATAAATATGAAATTAACCAATAGAATATATAATAAAATATCATCCAATTAAATTTATAATATGAATAACCAATAAAATAAGAACTAAATATTCATATCATAACACTATAAAAACTTAGTCTTATGTATCTTCTAATTATTAAAAATATGTAAACAACATATAGATAACTTAAAATTTGCAAAAATATAACTTATATATATATAATTTAATTAATAAAATTTAAATTTATATTATTAAACTACATATAAAATTTAAGCTTGAAAGACTTAAAAGCCAGCTCATTAGAAGTTTTAATAAAGAAATACTTTTTGTTTTAAAGAAAAAGTATTAATTAATCAAGATACAACTAGCAAAAATAACTTGTTCTATAAAATTATTATATCAAAATTAATAAAACTTGAAATCTAATTATATTCCTTTATAATTAACAGTTTGCATATAATTATCTTTATTATATTAATTTATTTAACTTATTTTTAATTATATTACTAAGAATATAAAGTATATTTATACTAAAAAGATTTATAATATCTTTTAGTAATAATAATAAAATAATATATATCCATTAGCTAATAAACTCATATTATAATTGAGTTTAGCTATTTTGACTAAAAATAATATAGTAACTATTGCAATATGATAAAAAATAAAGTATTATCTAGTTGTAACTAATTACATCTTATAAAATTTTGAAGTTGCAATATATTGTAACAGATAACAAATAAGTATCACATATTTGCTGTACTAGTTCTAATTTTGATAGAATATTATTCATATTAATTTAGAACTAAATTCTCTAAAATCTCACTTATAATACTAATAATATTAATATGATGATATTAATTCAAAACAGATTAATATTGTCACTAATTCAATATCGACAATAATTTAATATAAAAACACATAAACAGAAGATGCAGTTATGATAAAAATTAGTCATAATAATATTTGAATTACGTATTTAGTTCAATAATATTCTACTTCTTTCTATCTCTTTTTATTTTCTTCTTTTTTTTCTTGTATCACTTATCTTTCTATATTTATCTTATTGTTATCTTTATTTGAATATATTAATCACATTATTTTCTTGGCAAATTTCATTATTTTTTATATTAGTTTAGCTTCTGTTTTCTATTTTTGCTATTGGTACTTAAATGTAGAACAAGATTATTAATTATAATTTTGTGTAATTTAGAAGAGAACCAATAATTTCATAATATTAGCATAGATTTACTGTGCCATATGTTGCGCTGCAACTGCATTATGCTGCATCATACTACATATTATTGTATTACATTGTGTCACTATAATACAAAAACATGTATAAATACAAGTGCTGATAATTAATAAAAATCAAGTTTTCCAGTTCTAGTTTTAAGTTCCTCAGTTTTGGTTTTAAGTTCTTTTAGTCGAGTTTAAGTTTCTTTTGGTTTAATGTTGGGTTTAACATGTTAAATTGATTTTATTTTGGAATTTTTAGTAGTTTTTGGTTAAGTTTACCTTTTAGTTTAGTCTTGTTATTAGTTTAGTCTTGTTATTAGTTTAGTCTTGTTATTAGTTTAGTCTTATTTTTGTCATCTTTTATCTTGTCAAGAAACATTATTTATTGTCATAAATATTATTTAGTTATAATATTCAAAGTAAATTGCTGTGAACACAGTTACTATTACCATTTTGAAATACTTTTATATGCAAAAGCTCAAAATAATAACAATATAAAATTATAACAATAAATATTTAATCTAATGTGAAAAACAATATTATATTAATATGAATAATTGAATATATTCTTATTTTGTATACTTGTACAGTAATTATAATATTTATAAGCATTGAGTATTCTAGTTATAGTAAAAATTTTGTTCAAATTATATATTATCAATTAGATATTATTTAATTAGAAAAATTCACTTATTGTTTATCAAAGTTAGCTAATAAAATTATAAATTTATAATTATATGTATATATTACTTTTTTCATATAATTATATAATATAACTTTTTATTTATATTAATTCTTAAATATTTAGATTTTAGATATTGTTATAATCTGAATTTATTCAGATCATATGAAAATTAATATTAAAAATTTTAAAATTAGAAATTACATTATAATTTATTTTAATTTTTTAAACTAATAGTAATTATTAATTAATTTAGATTTAATATTAATCAATTTAATATAGATTAATATATGAATAAACAACACTTTTTTTGTAATATCTAAATCTTTCTTTGTTATTATAGTAGTTTATTTATTAATTATAATCTAAATGATTACTAATTTTACTCTATATTTTATCTATTACAGTCAAATCTCTTTATAGTCACTGTCCTCAGAAAAGCAAAATTTGATGACTATAGAGAAATTTTTTTTATTATGTTTATATGTAAATAAAAAAGCAAAATAGAGTGACTATAAAGAGATGTGACTATAAACAGGTATGACTATAGAGAAGTTTGACTATATTAATATTAATTACAAATACTTTAGATTATTAATAATTGTTAAAATGTTCTATTAATAATGTAATTTCTTATATATATATATTGTTATGCTCTTGATAACAGTATACTTAATTATAATAAAAAAGTATTTAATTAAAACATAAACTATTCTCTTATTGATTATATAGAAAATTCTTATATAATATTTGACGAGCTCAAAAAAAAGAATTAATTATATACTGTGACTAAAAAAGAACCTTTCACACCATTTTTATAATTAATTATTTGCTTTAAATAAATATACTGGCTAATATTAATTATTACTAGCTTGAGTTCACAAAGATATTACATAAAAAACAATAAATCTTGAAATGATAACTTATCTCTAATAAATTTTGTACATTCTCTTGTGAGATTCGCTCAATTTTAAAGAAGAGGAAGAAGAAGAAGATTCACCATTATCATTAAAAACTATCATTATAATATTATCATTAGCAATATTATTATTATCTTCATACATCATCACTATTAATACCATTATCTCCAAAATAAATTTGATTGAAACTTCATTACCAATTATACTCTTTAAAAAGCAGCAATAATAACATTATCGATAATAATGATAACAAAAATATCATTATCTCAACAATAATTAATAGGTATTGTTACCGTTTTGAGCTTTTGTGTATGAAAGTATTTCAAAATGACAATAGTGACTATGTTCATAGCAATTTACTTTGAATATTATAACTAAATAGTGTTTATGACGATAAATGATATTTCTTGACAAGATAAAAGATGATGAAAATAAGATTAAACTAATAACAAGACTAAACTAAAGATAAACTTAACCAAAAAGTACTTATAATTTCGAAATAAAATCAATTTAACATGTCAAACTTGACATTTAACCAAAAGAAACTCAAAACAAAAACTTAAGAACTTAAATTATGAACTAAAGAACTTAAAACAAACTGAGAGAACTTGATTTTTATTAATTATCAGCACTTGTATTTATACATGTTTTCATGTTACAGTGGAACAGTGTGATACAGTAATGTGCAGTATGATGCAACGTGATACAGTTATGACACAGCATATGGTACAGTAGATCTATATTAATACTATGAAATTATTAGTTCTCTTCTAAATTACATGAAATTTAACTGCATTATAATTAATAATCTTGTTCTATACTAAATACCAATAGCAAAAATAGAAAATAAAAACTAAATTAATATAGATAATGATGAAATTTGCCAAGAAAATGGCGTGATTAATATATTCAAATAAAGATAACAATAAAATAAATATAGAAAGATAGGTAATACGAGAAAGAAAAGAAGAAAATAGAAAGAGATAGAAGGAAGTAGAATATTATCGAACCAATTACATAATCTAAATATCATTATGACTAATTTTGATCGTTACTGCATCTTTTGTTCACGTATTCTTAGATAAAATTATAGTCGATATTGAATCAGTGACAATATCTTTACAATCCTTTGGATTTTTCTACATAAAATTTTACATGAGATTTCTGGAAGTTGTAATCACATTTTCTTGGATCTTTTTTCATAAATAATAGTAATATGCTCTAATATTTTATCATAAATTATATCTTTTGCCTTTTTCTCATCAATATTACTATCACTATTTTTTATAAGATCATTATACTGAATTATGAATTCACTTCCATAATTGATCCAGCATAAGATTTCTTTCTGGTTAGCTTTCTTAGCATAATATTCAGCATTAGTTGCTTTATCAAATAATTGTGTCAAGTAAAGTAATGAGATTGTAGAAGAATTTTGATGACAGTCTGTCGCTGAAACTTCAGTCACATGATTTAAGGAAGCAAAACTTTGAATCTTTGTTTCACCTGAAAGAATATTATCCTGAATGCCATCAGCTATTACTTGAGTGATATTCTCTGTTCCCTTTTTCTTGTGCGATTGGGACGTTTTGTCCAGGCTTTTATTTTGATTCTGATCCAAAAGCTTTTTCACAGTTTTTGGGTCCAAAGGTGTCGACATGGTTGATGTTTCGGATTGTATTGGTGGAGTTAAGTAATTATGTGATTCTTGAAGTTTTTTTTCCTAATTCTCTCCATTATCTCTTTACTGACAGTTTCCTTATATACCGTTTCTACAAAATCTAGAGTCTCAGCTGAATCTTCATCGATAATGTCTTGTGGCGGAGAGGTTGCAGACGTTTTAGGCTTTGCTAAAGATTCGGATTGGGTTGAGCTATGTTCCGTTTCGGGTATAGGATCGGGAGTAATAGCTTCCTCTCCTTCGAGTTGGCTTTCGATAAGTGGCGAAATGTCTTTTGTAGATGCTTCTTGTTCATTAGTAATAACCTGGATCTGTTTCCGTTCCAATTTCGTAACTCTGGTCTTAAGCTCATCATTCTCAGCCTTGAGATTAATAGTATTCATTTTATTTTTCTCTAGCTCTTCGATTCTAGCCTTGAGCCCAACATTCTCAGCTTCGCGTTTGGTGTTCTCTTCCATAACCTGTTTTAAAAGCTCGGCATTCTTTGCCTCAAGCTCGATCTTTTCAGCTTCAAGCTCAGAAATTCGTTGTCGTAATGAATCAATCTCAGATTGCATGTTTTAGTAATAGACTGTATATATCCTATTATTTATTTAAAATGTATAAAGTAGCAAAAATTTCGGCGACGGCCCGTCATCAAAAAAAATCAAACGAAAAAATCGCTTGAGACATGCAAATTTTGCACTAGTAACCATATAATAAATTTTACTCTCCGATCAGCGATATCAATTTATTTCTCAATTAATTAAATTTTAACTGTTCTTGGGTAAACTTGAATCGAATCGGTTTTATATTAATAGTTTCATCCGCCTTACTCAGAAATGTAGCGTCTGATTTTTAATAAATTAGAAATACATCTATAAAACCCAATTCAGGCAAACCTTTATTTGTTAAAATTTTACTGCTATGGTATTATATGATATATTAATGAAAGACCAGAAGTTATTATTACGCAAGAAATATAACTCATCAACAATTACATATAAAATTTACATCGACCTTTTCTACTCAAGAATTAGGTCAGGTTCTGGGCAATCTGAAATGGAATAACATATCAGTGATGTTAAATATGTTAAATACAATATAACGAATTTGTCACTGACCTTTCGGAACCCTCGGTTTTTGGAAGGATCTGTATTCCCTCTGCCTAGTAGGCATTGTCACCTTTCCGAGTGCAAATTTCTCTTTTTCAGCTCTGCTTTTCATTTGCTTAAATCGTGAAATAGAAATTGATAATAATTTCTGCAAGAACAAAATCAAGTAAGTGCAAATAAAACTTAAAAGAGATTTTAAAGATTGTTTAGATGGTACTAACCTTTATTTGGAGCATTATTCGTGACATTTTAATGAGGAATTCAAGTTCTTGATATTTTGTTGGAATATAAAATTCGGATAAATTTACGGACGCATAAAATCCACCGCCAATATATATAATTAGAATTGCACGCATAAAAAAATAAGAGGATAAAAATCCGGGCATTAAAAGCTTTGTGCTTGCTTCAAGAACTGGTTTCGAAAGTGTTCCCCCACCCTCGGCAAATATTGTCTTAATTAGATTTTGGTGCATGTCGCGTAATGTTTTCTGTACTTTAAGTGAGTTTGAAAAAATCTTAGGTGTGTCTTCAATTTTTGATCCTGTACGCTCACAAAGGGAAAACTCGCGACCCCAACATAACTCTCTTCCTAAATCATGCCTCTGTAGATTCAAATTAGTAAACAATTAATAGTTGACAATGAAGACTTTTAAAAATCAATAATAATAAAATTAAATCAACCATACCGTGAACATCCAGTCCAAGTGGTAACCTTCTGCATTAGTTGGTGCATTTATTGCCTCTGCTCGGCGATTTCGGGAAGACCTTGATACCATCTCGCCACTTAATTAAAAAAAGATGTAAGAACTACTGCAAATAATATAAATATTTAAAATAACAATAAACCTACAAGTGACTATCCAGAATAGTATCGAAACAAGAGAAAATGTGACGTTTTATAAATACATCAATGTCGCGTTCAGTATTTGGTCGTTGAGTAATTCCTTTTGAAATCATTTCACATCTGTATGAAATGGTTACATAAGACTTGTTAAACACATGAATGATATACATGTAATTTGGTACTTAATTATTAAAACTTACGTAAATCGAATTAAATCAAAAATGAAAGCAACATCCGGATTCATACAGTCGTCGGGAGTCAATGGTGAAATCTCTTTATGCTGATCCGTTTTATTATCTTTTTCATCTTCAAATAAATTATCTGATTCTGGAACTTCCCGTTCCTTTATGTTTTCCAATAATTTTTGAAGCTCGAGAATCGCACCATGTGTTCCTTTAGGTCTTACTGTTTCTCCAATAGTGCGGAGTTGATCGTTGTCAAGCTGGAAACCAAAAGCATGTATTAATAAATTTCAATTGAAATACTTAATTTCTTTCATTTACCTTTTCGAGAGATTGTAAGTAACTTTCCGCTTTTGGTTCTAATGTGGCCCAGTTTTCTAGAAGGGATGAAAATTTTGCATTCAATTCTGACAATTCATTTTCCGACATAAGGGTCCCGATCTCTGGATCAGATATATCAATAATCCTCCACCAGATTGGACTAAAATTTATTAGAACCTGGAAACCACAAATAATAAACAAATCAATGTTTATCAAACACTTACTTTAATGACAATTCATATGGAATCATTTTATTATTACAATTGAAAGCATTGTAAATTAATGAATCACGCTCGTGTGCTATTTTATCCAGCCAACTTGGTTTCGGTGTATCAAACTCCCATTCAACAAAGGATTCATCATCTAAAACCTATGTATGTATTCACAAAATTTATATAAGAAAGCTTTTTTTATTTTGCTAAAAATTAAAGCAAATATAAGTACCTCGAATAAATCTGATAGTCCTTCGTCTTTACATTGACGTTTGTACGAATGTTCATCATCTTCTTCCACATCAAGTGGTCTAGTAATTTTTTCACGTTCCTTTTCCTTTTCCGAGGATGTTTCTCGTAATTGATCAATAAGTATTTGGTTTTCTTGTTGATCCTAAAAATTGTTGGTAAGTCTATTGGTCTATTGTGCACGTTGATTTGAATTTTCATAAAATTTACCCTTAATACTGTGGCAGTGTAAGTTGATGTTACGTTTATTCGCGCTTCTTCGTGATACTCAAGATCCTTGATGAATTGCTTCACTTCGGCTGTGAAGAATGAAGAATTAAATTTCGATAAAATCTTCGTCACTTTGTTTTTAGCAAGTACGTGAACATTGCATTTATCATTATAGCCAGATAATATTGAGTATAGGTCTTCCTTGAAATCGTTGAGTGTAGCTACGGATAATTTAGTGTTCGAGTTTGATCGTGCAAATTCTAAGATCCCAAGGATCGACCAATCTTTACTTTTTACCGTATCAAGATATTTTATTATGGTGGATTCAAACATCTAAAAAAAATTAACGCAATTATTAGTCACTTATTCTTTTTAGTTAAAGGAGATATGGTAATGTTTACAGTCAACTGTATACTGGAAAACAGCATACCGGGACACGGGCCTTAAACACGTATGCCTAAGGACAGCCCAACAGACTGCCTCCAAACATCTGAACGCAGGAAGGTGTTGCCTAACGACAGTAGGTATAGTGAACGCATCCTGGAAAACAGCATACTGGGACACGGGCCTTAAACACGTATGTCTAAGGACAGCCCAACAGACTGCCTCCAAACATCTGAACGCAGGAAGGTGTTGCCTAACGACAGTAGGGATACGCGTGACTGTAAACTTTACCAGAATACAAAGAGCTATGAAGGCATAGATTAACCTTATTTTTTACGTTATATTCGAAAGATCCTTCAGTATTAAACGTGTCTGTGTGAATAAGATGTGTACATGTTACACAAAAATAAGGACAGGTGATTTACTAAAATTTCAGCGACGGCCCGTCGTCGAAATGTGATAAAAAAGAATATGCATGACCAAATTACGGTTTTTATATCACATGGATTTTTCTGGCTTTGAGCATATTACACTAGCTAAATGTCATTCATATCCGAAATGACAATTTATGAACCAGTTTTTGAAGATTTATTGAGATTAATCCATATACTTGATATATAATTCAAACACCTGTTTATATATCTCTCTCATTCTCATCACAAATATCCCAACAAAATATGATGAATATAACACTCTTAAAGAGATGATTCAAGAATTCCAATCTTATAGGACACTCTTTAAGCATCTGGACTAAAATTGAATCGCATTATTCTAGAGTATATAGTTATTAAATCTAATAGGTTTAAATTCAATATAATTCATATAATCTCTAAAATACTAAATATCACTTAATTATTTAATATGGGTTCTATCAATAATTGTTTAGTTTTAAATCAAATTGAATGATATGATAACTGTCAATTTCCAGTAATTTGTGATAGAGAAACACTATTTGATTAGAAAAACTGAATTTGGAATCAGTTAGTGAATTATAAAAATAATAATAAATTAATTAATTATAATAAGTGATATTTTATTATCAGAAAGATGGAATATATAGAAGAATTTAGTTATGATATAGCTGTTAAAGTAAATATTTCTTAAATTATCTGGTTTAGCAGGCAAATTTGCTTGCTAAAATATCATAAATTTATATCTAAATATATTTTTACCAAACATTAAAATATTTAAAAAAAAGTTGTTTAATATTAGTTATTTTTACTTTTTTAACAATTATAAAAAAATATAGTTATCTATTGAGTTAAAAATAAGTAATTTTAAAAATTTTTATTATTAGTCTTAAATTTTAAAAAAATTTCATAATAAAATTACAGAATTGATTACAAAATAAATCAAATATTTTGAGCAATTTATAAATAAAAGTTACAAATTTAGATTACATTGATTAAAAATAGGCTATATTTCTATTTTAGCTTAGAAGGGGGGGGGGTTAAACTTATAAAAATTAGACGTAAATGTACAAAAATTAGTTAAAAAAATTTTAGCGGGCAAATTTTCCCACTGGACAGTTTAAAGGGTAACATTAAGGCATTTTATATTTAGTCTTAGGTCAAATAGAACCTAAATATTGCGTTACAAATTTGAGTAATACCAACACGGATCAAGAAAATTATTTGTGAAATAAATTATCATTTGAATATTTAAGTTAGATATGGTATCTGAAGACTCAGATGTTTAAGTATTCGAATCACGTATTTTACGATTCCGAACACTACTGTAAGGCAAGTCACAGAAATTATGTGAAAATAAAAAATGTTAATTCATATGAGGAAAATCTCACCGAAAAAGAAAACAGGAGTTTCATAACGAAACTATTTTAACGATATGATGTCTAATAAATGACCATATAAACTGGAAATAAAAGTTCAACCGTGGTATTTTCATTCAGATTTTTCCATGATAAAAGAGGGATTAAAAGTTGTCTAATCTATTATTGAATTGAATGGCTCTAATTTCGACAAGGCAATATCGTTGTTACAATTACTATGATCGTTTAAGACAAAGATTTTGGAAAACGGATTATTTATATTCTTCAAGAGGAATTTATCGTTGCAAGAACACAGAAGAATTGCTAGTCATATTGGGGCAGGCACTCGAATTTGTACAGCAGGAGAGGTGGAGAACGGGAAAATCACGGCTGATGTAGTGTTGCTCGGGATGGCTATTCATGGGGAAGACATCTTCGTAAAGAAGATATCTTGTGGTGTCAGGAATTTGTAAAATGCAATATGAAGTGTTAGTCATTCATTCCTTCACAATTATATAAATTGCATCAGTGTTCTTCGGTTACGAAATGGCTGTGAAGGGTGGGTTTGAGAACACTGGAAAACTGCTGTGTAAGTAGGGTGGTCCCTTTCGATACTCATAGTGCTCATATTGGAAAATTCGGGTTTCATCCCCCTCGAGCACATAGCCGTTTAATGACTGTGAGTACATTGCATCAAGCTTCGAAGTACAGTAACCGCAAAAGTATCCAACCACCTCTAACTTTCTATATATCGTGTATAACACCGAAGATTTTTCGAACACAAGGAGCAACACAAGAATTGATTATTTATCTCTTTTATAGATTGGTAAAGCTTCTATATCGGGCGTATTGAATGTTCATAAACTTTCACTATGAATCTGTCACTTTAGGACGTAATATATCGACGGTCTGAATTCTAATAAATATACCACCATTCGATTCACCTTGACTATACGAATTGAATGGTGTATATTTATTTGAATCAGGTTACTGGACGTTGAGATATTACGTTCTAAAGTGACTGATTCATTTTGATGATATGAAAAAATGATCAACAAAAATGAATGATGTCCAGTGATCCGATTCGAATAAATATACTATATACATATACGTACATGTATATACTGTGGCCCGCATAAATAACGCACCACTTGCATTGTCAATCACGAAAGATCCGACAAGCATACAAATAATAAAATAAAAAATAACTAACACAACCATATACGTACAGTGCTCGTCAGAATTAATCTCCCCCCCCCCCCCAATAACTTTACATAGATCATCATGTATAATGTACCAAAATTTCCGAGCACAAAGAACATTACAAATGCTGATTGTTGATATCTTTTATAGATTGGTAAAGCTTCTATATCGGGTGTTGTATGTTCACATCCAAAATATGTACATGTATAATCAGTTATTTCATAGTACACATCTCAACAACCAATAATTTAATTCTTGACATTTAGTGATTTGAACAAACATACAACTATTTGATTTGTTCAGTCAAGATAAATCAAATGGTAATTTTTTGGTTCAAATCAGATCACTGGCCATCAAAATATTATGTCAAATTCTTTTTTTGGAGTAACAAAAATTAATTAGTCAATTCAGAATGTGTTATCTCGATCACCAGTGATCTGATTCAAACAAAAATAACAAAAATAATATCATTTGATTTGTTTAGTCAAAACAAATTGAATGATATTATTTTTGTTATTTTTGTTTGAATCAGATCACTGGTGATTGAGATATTACATTCTAAATTGAGCAATTCATTTTTTTGGTGATTAATTTTTAATGAAAAATTGATCAACAAATGTAAATCAGTCACTTTAGAAGATACGTAATATCTTGATGTCTAATGATCCTATTTGAGTGAAAATATTATCATCCAATTTTTCTAATCTAGACAAATCAAATAGTGATATTTTTGCTCAAATTAAATAACTAAACATTGAGATATTATATCCTAAAATAAATAATTCATTGTATTTAGAACATAAAATTTTATAAATACATAATATGTAATATAAAAAATTTTGGTACATTATAATAATCTACAAAAAGTTATAGAGAGTAGATTACTTCTGATAAGTACTATAAGTAAATAAACAAATATTATTACTTTCAATTATCTGTAATACTTATTAATTTTTCAAAATACTAATATATTTTTTTTGTTATTTTTAGGATGAAAGTTTACTTGCTCAATATATTTTATTAAAAATATAAAAAAATAAAAAAATTATTCCAAATATATTTTTTATTATCTTGTATAATTTTCCTTTACTTTAACTATATTATTAATTCTTTTTAGTATTATATTAATTAAATTAATATAACAGTCAATTTCATTATTATTTCAAGCCTCTTTTAACTTTTTTTAAAAATTATTTTTATTAAAAATTATATCTATATTATATTCAAATTTTTAATAAAATTTAAATTTTATGATTGTGATAGTCAATTTAAAATAATTATATTATTATTTTTAAATTAAGTTATTATTTTATCTGAGATATATTTCAAATTTTATTCTATTAAAAAATAAATTCAGTTAGCTTTAAATTATATAAATTTAAGGATAATATAAGTTCATTTAAAAGAATTTATTAATAATATTTATTATTTATTATTTTATTAATTTTATAAAAATATTCAATACTATTAATACTAAAACAATTTTATATTATTATACTATTACTATTAAATTTAATTATAAATTAAATATAAATACTTTTTAATAATATTAATATTTATTAGATTTAAATCTTTAAAATTTTGATTCAACTGCTCAAATACAAGTATATAATACAAGAATAATAATATTACTAAACTATTTCAAGTCTATAACAAAAACTATAGTAAATATCAAAGAGAAATTATAAGATAATTACTTGTAATAACTTCTAACTATTAATATTTAATATTACTATTGCTTGCTATCAAGTGAAATACTACTTATATATAAAATAAATATTACTAAAATATTTAAATATCTTTTTTAACTAGTACAAAATAAATTAAATACCTTTTATTTTTAATTTATTTTTTATATTATTTTATCTTTTTTATTTTTTTAGATTTTTTAGTATTTCATATTATTTTATTTTTTATAATTTTTTTATTTTTTTTAATATTTTATACTTTTTTAACTATTATATAATTAATAATATAACTAAATATAGAATAAATATAATATTTAATAAAAATATAATAAAATATAAATTAATATAATATAATATATAAAATAACTAATAAAAATTAAGTATTTAATAAAAATAAATAATAAAATAATATTATATATTAATTTATAATTCTAAATAAAAGCTAAAACTTTAATTATAAATACTAATTATATAATTATACTATTTAGTAAGAGTTAAAAGTTTATTTAATAATAACTAAATTATTTTTATTTTATAATTATTAAATCTTATTATAAATTTTATATATTTCTTTGAATAATTATTATTAATAATAACTATTTTATATCAAATTATAACTTTTATTTCTGATTACAATTTTATTTATAATTATAATTTATTATTATTATTATAGTATATTAATTATTTTATATCTAATTTTGATTTATAACTTTACTTAAAAGCTCATTGAATATTTACTTGAACTCAAATTAAACTTTTGATCAAATTTGAGTTTAATTTAAAGTTTAAACTAAACTTAAATCAAATTTTTAATTGAATTCAAATTTTTAAACTAGACTTTTAATTAATTCAAATTTTTAAACCAGATTTTTAATTGAATTCAAATTTTTAAACCAGATTTTTGATCTAACTCAAGTCTGATTTAAGTTTAATTTAAGTCTGATAAGCTTGAACTAAATCAGACTTTTTTAGAACTCTAATTTTAAATAATATTTTTATTAACTAAATTAAATCAAACTTTTATTCAAATTTGAATCTGATTTAAAATTTGAACTGAATTCAAAACAAATTTTGACTTGAGTTCAAAAAAGATTTAAACTAGATTTGAATTGAAATTTTAATTTATTTGAGTTTAATTTAATATCAATATATAGTATTATATATTGATCTATAACTCTAAAAGTTTACTTAATATCAATTAAATTATTTTTATTAAATTTTATTATAAATTCAATATAATTCTTTGAATATTTATTATTAATATATATAGTGTTCCTATGAACCGAACCGAACCGGACTTTGGCTTGAGTTCGAGAACGGTTCGAAGTTCGAACCGAA